TCTTTGTTGATTTGGATTTGCTCTTTATTTCTTTTGGTTAACTGGGATAAGGGTCTTTCTAGCTTTTCAAAGAAGCAGCTCTTAGATTCATTGAGTCTTTGTATTGTTTGGTTTCTATTTCATTAATTTCTGCTCTGATTTTTGTTATTTCTTCTCATCTGCTAGGTTTGGGATTAGTTTGTTCTTGCCTTTCTAGAGTCTTTTTCTTGGTCTGTTTGAGACAGGGTCTCCCTATAGCCCCAGCTGGCCTGAAACACCTGTGTAGACCAGGTTGGCCTTGAACTCACAGAGATCTGCCTGCCTCAGCTTCCTGAGTGCTGGATTAAAGGTGTGTGCCCCCAGGCTGGGCACCTTTCCAGAGTCTCAAGTTGCAATGTTAAGTCATTGAATTCATGTTCTTTCTGATTTTTTAATGTAGGCACTTAGAACTATAAACTTCCCTCATAGGACTGCTTCTAAAGTGTCCCAGCGGTTTTGGTGTGTTGTATTATCCTTTTCATATAGTTCCAGGAACGCTATTTTCTTTCTTAATTTCTTCTTTGAGCTAGTTGTCATTCAGGAGTGTGTTGTTCTTTTTTCACTAGTTCCTGTAGTTACTAGGGCTTCTGGTGTTGGTTTTAAGCCTTATTATTGTGGTCTGATAGAATACATGGGAGTAGTTCAGCTTTTTTTGTATTTGTTGAGGTTTGTTTTGTGCCCCAGTATGTGGTCAATTTTTGAGAAAACTTTCATGGTGCTGAATAGAAAGTATTCTTTTTTGTGCGTGGGTAGAGTACTTGGTAGTTGTCTGTTATGTCTATTTGATGGTATCATTTAATTCACAGAACAGAGAGAGAATGCTGAAAGCTGCAACAGAAAAACAAGTCACATATAAAAGAAAACTTATCAGAATTACAGCTGACTTATCAATGGAAACTATGAAAGCCAGAAGAGCCTGGACCAAAGTATTCCCAGGTCTAAATGACCATAGATGCCAACCCAGAATAATTTACCTGACAAAATGTCTATTATAGCTGAAGGGACAAGAAAAATCTTCCACGACATGAATAGGCTGAAAGAATTTATGTCCACAAAACCAGTCTTTCAGAGAATATGTGAAGCAATACAAAGGGAGAAAGGAACAAAATTTACCCAAGAAAAACCTAAATGAAGGTATAATTGTGGAAACACAGAATTAGACCAAGAATGAAAACAGAAATTAAAATGACAGTAACCAGTACACATCTTTTCATAATAACTTGAGTATCAATGGCCTGAACTCCCCAATCAAAAGATACAAGCTAGTTGAATGGATTAAAAAACAAAATCCATCTTTTTGTTATCTGCAAGAGACCAATCTCTCCTTTAAGGATAGGTCTACCTTAAAGTGAAAAGATGGGAAAAATAGTCCAAGTAAATGCTATTAAGGCACGAGCAGGGGTTGCAGTTATAATAGCTGAAAAAAACAGACTGCAAAGTAAAACTAATCAGAAGATATAAAGAGGGCGACTTCATTTGATCAAAGGAACAAGTGACCAAGAAGATAGATATTACAGTCACGAACATATATGAACCAAACTCTGGTGTACCCAAGTTCATAAAAACAGTACTATAGGAATTTAAGATACAGATTAACCCCAATTCAGTAATAGCAGGTGACTTTAATACCCCACTATCTCTAAAAGACAGGTCAATTGGACAAAGTGTACTTTTAGTGCTTTTACTATGATAAGCTGTGGGAAGTTTCTTTTCTGGTCCTATTTGTGCTTCTTATATTTGTTTCTTGTTGTTGTTGTTTTTCTTTCTTTCTTTTTTTGGTCTTTTAGAGGCAGGGTCTCCCTGTAGCCCCAGCTGGCCTGGAACTCACTGTGTAGACCAGGCTGGTCCCAAACCCACAGTGATTCACCTGCCTTTGCCTCCCAAGTGCTGGGGTTAAAGGTGTGGGCCACCATGCCCAGCCTGTGCTTCTTGTGTTTGTGTGGGTATGTCTTTCCTGAACTTTTGGAATTCCCTTCTGTAGTCCTGTTGAAGATCTGGTCAATACCATTCACCTGAGATGTTTCTCCTTCTAGGCCTGCACTGTGTAAATTTAGTCTCTTCATGGTGTCCCACATTTCCTTTATATTCCATTCCTGTTTTTTTAAAAAAATTCATAATCTTTACCTGAGTGGTCCAGCTCTTCAACTTCATTGTGTAGTCTTGATATTGTTTTCCATTTTATTCATTCAATCCATGAGGCTTTCTTTTGTTGTTTCTAATTGGCTTATTGAGGTTTTCACTTCCTTCTTCATTTCATCCTGTTTTCTTTAATATTTCTCTCTTGTGAATTCAGTCAGAAGTTTGTCCCTATCTTTTAGTCCTTTGACTTGTTTATGTGTTCTTTTTTTTTTGGTCTTTTTGAGACAGGGTCTCCCTGTAGCCCCAGCTGGCCTGGCATTCACTATGTAGACCAGACTGGCCTTGAACTCACATAGATCAGCCTGCTTCTGCCTTCCCGGTGCTGGGATTAAAGGTGTGAGCCATGCCTGGCCTTTGTTTGTTAAATCATATTATCTTCATAATCTTATGACACATTTCATTGTGTTTCACACTATCATGCTAAACTTAGAGTAATTAGCATTACCACGCCACTCTTCAAGCAGCATAACATTTCATACCACACAGGAAGACATTGCTAGTAGGATTTCCCCATGGGCTGCCCACCTGGAGTCTTCCTCTGTGTAGAGCATTTGGGCCTTGGTTGCACGTCTTACTACCCAAAGCAAGGCACATGTCATATCAAGCAAGCACAGCATCCTATGGCATTTGGGGAAAGGAGGCCTCATCAGCACTTCTTACTCTTACTGCGCTCCACCTCACACATCCATTCTCACTTGTACAAGGCTGTTTTGTATGAGACTTTTCTTGGGGAAACCCAACACTGGCCCATCTGCTCACCCCAGAGAAGGAACCCAAGTGGATCAAAGTAATGATTATAGGAAAGTTCAACTTAGTGAATGAATGAGTTTATTGGGATTACTTATACAAGTATCGTTTAAGAGTATGGGCCACTCAAAAGCAACTATATCATTGAAAAGCCCACCGTAACCTGGATGGTAACTCATAAAAGCTGCAAACCTGGAGCTCTTTGAATGACTCTACTGCAGGTGAACTGTTTGGAGAAATTTTCTCAACCTCTTGGTTGGACAGTCTCCTATCCCACCAATTTGCTGCTTCTATAACTTTTAATAGGGGTCCAGGTGAATGTTGTAAGTTTGAATTTTCCCAAATATATGAAGTTTACTACTTGTATTCTCTTGGCATTTCCACTTGTTCCTGAACGAATGTTTCAGTTCAGTGGACATCACTATGGAAAGGGATACTGCATCTGTAGTTTGGTTGCTGTGTCGATGTGTAACTGTGAAGTCATTGTTTTACTGGTGTGTACGATGACTGCCTAGAATATGTCTGTTCCTCTAGTGTGTGGTTTTTTGTTTTTGTGTTTGGTCTTTTTGAGACAGGGTCTCCCTGTAGCCCCAGCTGTCCTGGAACTCACTATGTAGACCAGGCTGGCCTTGAACTCACAGAAATCTGCCTGCCTCTGCCTCCCAAGTGCTGGGATTAAAGGCGTGCGCTACCATGCCCAGCCCGTGTGTTTTTTTAAAAAAGTATTTCATTTATTATTATTATTATTTTATGTGTATGAATGTATTGCCTGCATGTATGTGAGTGCACCTGTGTTGTGCAATGCCGTGGAGGTCAGAAGAGGGCTTCAGATTCCCCTGGAACTAGAGTTAAGGATGGTTCATAGCCACCATGTGGGTGCTGGGAATCAAACCCGGGTCCTCTGCAAGAGCAGTCAGTGCTCTTAACCTCTGAGCCATCTCTCCAGCCCTGTAGTGCATGTTCTTTTAGATGAGGCATCAGTCTTCAACTACTCAGAATTCTCTTTGCTTAAGAGTTTTACCAATTAGGCTGCAATGTAACCCAGAATCATTTGTCTGGGACTCTATTAGAGTCCCTGTGAGACTCTTGGGTCTGTGTTTGTGTTTCTCCTGTGCTGAATAGATAATTTGTTCATATTGCTTTTCTTTTGAAACACTATGAGGCAAATGTTTGCTTTTGTATGATGGTTTTTGGATGCTAAAAGATGTTGTTCCTAAATCTACCTGGATTCATTTAAAAAGCAAACCAGGGGCTGGAGAGATGGCTCAGTGGTTAAGAACACTGACTGTTCTTGCAGACGACCTGGGTTCAAATCCCAGCTCCCACATGGCAGCTAACAACTGTCCATAACTCCAGTTCCAGGGGATCCAACAGCCTCTTCTGTCCTCTGTAGGCATTGCACAACATGGGTGCACTTAACCTACATGCAGGCAATACACACATACACATAAAAATAATAAATAAAAAAAATATAACAAATGTCCCCTGTGGGCATTACATGACACGGGTGCACTTGCATAAATGCACGCAATACATGCATACACATAAAATTCAAAAAAGAATTTTTTTTTATCAATTAGTAAACTTCAGCTGGCCTGGAACTTGCTATGTAGACCAGGCTGGCCTTGAATTCATAGATATCTGCCTGCCTCTGCCTCCCAAGTGCTGGGATTAAAGGTTTGTACCACCACACCTGGCTTGAGCTATGAGTTTTATAGATTCTTATGTTTTATTTATTTATTTATTTATTTATCATTTTGTTAATGGAGGTCTTCTGCTCTAAAAATTTTGTCTGGTTCTTTTTTGTTTACCCATTCTTTTTCAAGTGTCCTAAGTAGGATATCATACTATTTTTATTGTGTTTTGTCTCTTACTTTTCTTTTTAAATCTTCTTAAAATTATTACTTTGGATATATATCATGAAGTCTTATACCACTGAAAGATAATGTTTTATATGAGTGAAACACATGTCTATAAAGCTCTAATGAAATTTTGTGATTCAATGACTAAATCCAGGTTCCTGAATTAGAGCAGTTATCTTTCATCAGCGGACTTGATTTAGCACTCTGGCTTAATGTGCATTTAATTTCTCATAGGGCACTGCATAAAAAAACCTGAGTTGATCTTCAAGTTGGAACATGGATTTGGCCCATGGAGTGTGGCAGAAGCCTCTAAGCAGAGCCTCCCAGGTCAGTGAATTCATCCTGAGCAAGGAAGGTCAGCAAGAAGCCAAGTCATCAGATGTTGGCCATGTTGATATCTTCCCACCAGTGTTTATTCAACCCCAGTTCATATCAGAGCTGATGTGGTGAATGAGACACATGGTATTTGGAGTTCCTAGGCTCTAGTCAGGTCAACTCATGTCCTTGAGATATTTTTGCTGAAATAACTTAGATTTGACTAAAATTCAATCCCTGTATAAATCTGAAACTTAAATTTTTTTCAATTTTTATGCTGCTTTATTAAGATTTTTATGGATTTATTTAAAAAGATTTTGAGCATTGTGGATTATTTGACAGGTTTTATTTAAAAAATTTTTTCATTCAGTGCTCTTTCTGGAATTTTTAATGTCATTAGATTTAATAATTCTGCCCACTTTTTTTTTTTTTTTTAATTTTATGTGTATGTGTGTATTGCCTGCATGTAGGTAAGTGCACCCGTGTCGTGCAATGCCCGTGGAGGTCAGAAGAGGCTGTCAGATCTCCTGGGACTGTCGTTACAGACAGTTGTTAGCTGCCACGTGGGCACTGGGATTTGAACCTGGGTCTTCTGCAACAACAACCAGTGTTCTTAACCTCTGAGCCATCTCTCCAGCCCCCTGCCCACTTATTTAAGGTGTGGTATTAAACAGTTGGCATGGAGTAGTTCATGTGCTTTTTTTGGAACAGGGTCTCATATAGCCCATGCTAACTGCAAACATACTAGGTAAACAAGTGCTTCCCAAGCACTGAGATTACAGGTGTGCAGCACCACCATGCCTGGTTCATGCTCGAGGCTGAACCAGGGCTTTATGCATGCTGGGCAAGCATTCTATCAGCTGAGCAGTAAGCACTCAAATCAACTGAGCTCTATCCCTAGCTCCTATTTATATATTATCTTTTTCCTCGAAATTGTATTTATCATTGTGTGTGTGTGTGTGTGTGTGTGTGTGTGTGTGTGTGTCCCTGCCACAGTGCATGTGTGAAAGTCAGAGGATGACTTTGTGGAGTTGGACCTGTCCTTCCATCTTTATGTGGGTTCAGGGCCTCAAACTCAGGCCCTCAGGCAAGTGTTTTTAGTTGATGAGCCAACTCGGTGGCCCTGTATTTTTTCATTTTCTTTCTCTTTCTCTCTCTCTCTTTTTTCTTCCTTTCTTTCCCCCTCCCCCCCTTCCTTCCTTCCATTTTTTTTGTTGAATTTTTGTGTATTTCATACAGAAAATCATGTTTATACTGTCTTCCTCTTTGGTGCCGTCCTATAGCCCCCCACTGGAGTCATACATTCTGTCATTTGGGAAGGCCTGTCATGTAAAGTGTCCTCATATGTCCCTCAGTGCAAGTTCATCCACTGCGATCTAGTCAGCCTATAGAGTCCTTCCCTTTAAGAAGATTAGCTCTTTCACACCCAGCAGTGATCAGGTGCCAATAATTCTCTGACTGAGATTGGGGCTTGCTGTTCATTTCCACAATTCTGTGCTGGGTTTCTGTCTGCTTACGTTTGCATGAGTCTTGGGCATGCTGACACCATTGCTGTAGGTTTGTATGAGAAGAGTCCCAGGAGTCTGAAGGACTATTTCCCTATGTTCATGCACCTCTTCTTGTCTCTTACAGTCTTTTCACCTCCTCTTCTGCAATGGTCCCTGAGCCCTGGGTGGGTAGATTTTAATATAGGAATCCTGTCCAAGGATCCACACTCTGTAGATTCTTATTCTCTGCGTTTTGGCCATTTGTTACCTCTTGTGTTCCTGGCCCTCTGTTGTATGACGCAACATCATTGATGAGAATTGAAACATGCATTAGTGTTCTAGTCATCCCTTGTTCTATGTTCCATGAGCCTTAGGTGTAGAGATTGCATCCTAGATGTGTCACTTAGGCTAGGGCAATTCACAATCTTTGTGTGTGACCAGTTGTGGAACTCTGTAATTATCTCTGTCTCTTCAAAAACAAGCTTTTCTGATGGTTTGTGACTGGGATACTTGTCTATAGAGTTAAGGATCCATACTTTGCATATAATAAGAAATTATATCTGTCTATAGATATGAGAGAGCCTTGGTGTTTTCTCAAAGATCTATGACCTCTCTAGCTATGTATATTTGGCTAGGTTTACAGTACCACACATGAGTTACCTCCCATTGAGTGGGCTTTAAGTCCAATTAGGTAGCTGTTGATTACCTCCAAGATAAAAGTGCCACTATTACACCAATATCATTTGCTGTGCTGGTCATTGATCTAATTTTTGGGTCTTGAAGCTGGGGTTGGACCATCAATCGATATTCTCCCTTAGCAGCTTGTGTAGTGCTCTCCAAAGCTATGAGAGCTGGCCTTCAGGGGAGGTGGCTTCCAGGTCGGTTCCAGCTCCATTGCTCCCAATCCTGTGTCCAAAGTATGTCCTGTCTTCAGCAATAGGGTCTTACCATCAAGTTCTGGGACATAATCAAGGATTGGCAATAGTGTAATTTTGGGAGTCTCTTGGGCTACCCTGGCCAACAACTCAAAGGAAGGTTTCTCCTGTCTAGCACGGTTTTTTGTTAGGTAGTCTTCAGCTACTCTCAAGGACTCCTGTAGAGATAATTATATGTGTAATTTTTCAGTAGATTTTTGGACTAACACGATTCCCCCTGGTTTTTATACTAAGTAGGCACTCCTCTTTCTCTCCATGTCTTATCCTCCCTTCCTGCCGCCCCCATTTAAAGTGTCCCCATTTTTCTCCCTTGATAATTTCGCCCTTGATAATTTCTGTCTGCTCCTGTCACAGCTCCTTCTTCCCCTCCATTTCCATAGTTCCTTTTATAATTCTCCCCGTCCTACTTTTTGCACATTTCTCCCTTAGTAATGTCTCCTACTAGTCTTCTCTCTCAGGTTCCTTCTTTCCCTTTCCCTCCCTGTTTCCTTCCACTTCCTGGTTCCTGCAGTTACATCAGGATATGTACTCCCTTATAAGGATTTGGTGCTAGGGGGAGAACATATATCTTTTGTTTTTCTGAGTCTGCATTACTGATTTATTATAACAGCTTCTAGATTCATCCATTTACTTGCAGATTTGATTATTTCATCTTCCTTTACTGCTGAGTAGAATTCCTATATGTAAATGTACCACATTTACCTTAACCACTCGTCAGTTGAGTAGCACCTAGGTTGCTTCCTTCTTTTAGCTATTGTGAAAACAGCAGCAACAAACATGGTTGTACAAGTATCTCTGCAATAGGATGAGTCCTTCAGGTATGCCAAGGAATTGGTTCATATGGTAGGTTCATTTTTAGTTCTTTAAGATTTCTCCACACTGCTTTCCATAGAGGTTGCACAAGTTTGTAATACCACCAGCAGTGAATGAGTGTTCCCATTTTTCCACAGCCTCTTCAGTCTGACTGGGGTTAGATGAAATCTTAAAGTGGTTTTAATTTGCATTTCCCTAATTACTAAGGATGTTGAACACTTT